ATCTGTAACTCTTTCAAATAAATAAAAAAAAAAGAATATTGCTTGAAAGAGGTGTAAAAGTAGTTAGTAGGCTGCAAGTAGAATCTTTACTTCCAGGTATAGTTTAACAGGACACAGGACAAAAGGAATTAGAGGCCCAAGTAAGGAAGTGAGAAAAGTGAGCAGTATACAGACAGCTGAAAGAAACTGATGTAAATATGAATTCAACTACAGCTCAGTGGAATCTTACTTCAGAATAACTTCTCTGGGGTTAGGCATTTGACATAGGGATTAACACATTGCATCCCATACCAGAGTGCCTGGATTCAGTTTCCGGCTCGGCTCCTGATTGCAGCTTCCTGCCAAGGCAGACCCTGGAAGCAGTGGTGGTGGCTCAACTGGGCTCCTTCCACTTGCGTGGGAAATCTGGGTTGACTTCTGCCTCCCTGTCTTGTCCTCTGTCCCCTACCTCAACTGTTGTCGGCCTTTGAGGAGTGAATCAGAAGATGGGCGCTTGCTCTGTCTCTCTCGCTGCTTTTCTCTGTGCCTCTCATATTTAAAAACTTTTTTAGAAAAGGATTAACTTTTCTGGTCGCAGCCTAAGCTCGTTACAGCAGCACCAAATGTGCCCTCAGGTCATTTGGGCAAGTTCTCCCACTTCAGGCATGTCATACTCATTCCTGTCACTTCTTCTGGTGGGCCAGGGATACTGGACTTGTCCACTTTCCAATTTGTACGTCTTTAACTCCTACTAGATAAACATGTTATTAACCACCACTTTTACTTCGTTAGTCTAGATATTATGCTATGGAATTTAAGACTATAATTATACTCTAGCATAATTGAGGCCATCCAGTGGGGCTGGAGTCTGTGGCCCCTTCAGACAGAGGTAGAATGTCCCTCACAAGCAAGCTGTCAGCTGTGGCTGGAAAGCCTGTCTCCAGACCAACTGGCATCTCCCCCACTAATAGCTTCTTGTGCTGCATGGTGACCTTGCAGCCTTAAATCACATCTTCAGGGTGGGTGCAATCTTTCACTCAGAACTGGCAGGGGAAGGGGCTGAGCCCTTGGTGGTGGTGGGGGGAGGGGCCAGACTGGTTCCAGGAGATCCAGGCTATCTTGTGTGACCTTATGGCTTTAAATCACACCTCCAGGGTGGCTGCCATCTTCCACTCAGAGCAACCAGAGAAGAGGGCTGGGCCCCTAAGGAGATGGACAGTCTCCAGAAGACCCCCCCACTATCTCCCTGAGTCTCAAGCCAATCAACATCCATATGTGAAACTCCCTGTTCAGTGGGCACCCCCCAGTAGGATAACCCAATGAACAGCTAGTAATGCCTTAAAAACCCGGGACACT